TTCAACCTTCGACCTCTAAAGAATAAATAAGTTGTACTCTTAACCGCTGTACAAGATAAATAACTCACTACTATATTGTACATATCGATTATGATGTGTATTGTTATATTGCTTTGTGTCCATCAAGCTAATTCTATTCAACACCCTAGAATCAATTTGATACTAATGTTATTTTAATTTTTATTTACAAAATTAAGTTTGTCTATTAAGAGTCCTAATAAAAATTTAAGACTTTTTAATTAAGGTATATAAATATTTATTATTAGTATATTTATATTCATACTTTCGAGATTTCTAATATTTTTTCATATTTCAAAAACGAAATATTTTCCCTATTTTGGTGGTATAAAACATTACACAATTATGGCTGGTCTAAATTCAATTTTGATGTTTTGGTCCCAACCTTTCAAATCTTCTCTTTTATTCTATCCAGTTTTAAATGATTAGTTTTAGTCTTTGAAACAAACTATTTTAGTAATTTACTTTCAATTTTCTATTAATTACTTAAAAGATGAACTCGAATCTATTTTCAAATCCAATACCCACACATATTACAAATAGTTTTAACATTTGTGTTTGTAGATAAGATATTTATAACTAACCAAGAAGTAAATTAACAAAATATTGTCTGTGTTAGGTACCTTTTATATAACTTATTAAACTTAATGGTAAGAACAAAAATATTTTTTTATGTTTAAATTTATAGATTAAATAAAATATAAAAATTTTAGAGATGAAAATATAACAAATAAGAAAGTGGTTAAACTTGAGAGTTTAAACCCTTATTTTTGTTACACATAGTACATGTGATTCATATGTAGTACTTTCAAAGGATTAGTAGTAGGATCCATTGACATTCTTTTATAGTACAATAGCAATGCAACGTCCTTCACAATGGACGATCTAACATTGGTTACGAGAATTGGTGTCTTGCTAACAGTTCGAAGCTCAACCGCACGACCAAATTCTCCACCTCGCATCTGTGCAATTTGTATTTGTTCAGAGAGATCGGACTATCGGTTTTCTAAGCTTAAGAATGCAGGGTCTGACTTAAAGTTGGTCTTGATATGTATAGAAACTTCTTTCTCGATGTACTTAAATCTTGCAGCTTCCAAGACTGTTTGGATGATCACAATAAATGCTTTAGGAACAGAAGTACCAGTATTGTGGTCGAACATGTTTCCAATGGCACTACTTATTTCAGAAAACCCAAGATCAATGTTCTCTCTTGAAATGTTCCGTGCAGCCGTCTCAAGACTATCGTAGTTTCCTTTATATGAAAGTCTTACATGTTCGGTACCTCTAAATAGAACATCGTCTGCTTCTACTGAAGTATCATTCAGAAAGTAGGCATTATCTCCAGCGCGATATGCTACAACATACACATTCACTATGTCTATTGCCACAGTGATGGATTCACTATTATAATTTGTGAGATGCACTAATATGAAGCGTGTCGAGCCCGATGCCATGGGCTGCAACACAGGTATATTGTACACCATTGGAGATCTCACCGTGATCGGCCACTACATAGATTCGTTATGAACTGTTTGTAGGTTTTGCTTGTGGCACCCAATAAAGAAAAGGATACATCGGCCTCTATAGCACGAGCGCCAAGATAGAGAGCGAGAACAAAGTAAAACGTTACCAATCTCATCTTTTCTAATTGTGTGCTTGCAAATGGGATTGTATGACTTTATATATAGAATTAATGGGAAGTGAAACTTTGTTAATGTTGGGTGCATAAGTTATTTATTACACACATTTAGCAGAACTCCAAAAATGTATTATTAACTTTTAGGACCCGTTTGGTTACGTTCTCGCTCGTTTCTTATTTCTCATTTCTAGTTTTATTAAGAAATCTAATTACTTTATAGGTTTTCATATTTCTTGTTTATCGTTTTTTAGAAATATTCTCAAAATTGTATAAAAATTTTGGAAAAACAAAATTAGTGTGGAGTTGTGGAGTTGTAATTAATTTGTTTGCTTTGCATGGATGTGTACACAATTTGTTAAAAATAATGGACAAAATTTAAATGCAGGAGTACCATGATGACAATTTTTTTTTTGCAAATGAAGAGGACGATTTTTAAGACCAATATATTAGTTCAGTGGTTAAGACATGATCTATTTTTTTTTTTTTATGGCAAGATTTTCAGATCATCATTTCCAAATTTTTTTACTAAGAAAACTATGATTTTTGAGTTTCACAAACTACATGGATGTTTAAACTATTTTCAACAGATAGGATATGATTTATGAGATAGATATATTAAAAATGTGTAATTTATATATGTCCATTAAATTTAAAAAAGAAATACATGTTAGAGTCTGGTAATTTTAATTTATTTTGACCATTACTTAAAAAAAAATAGATTTTTGAATATTTTGGCAAATGAGTAAGCTTGCTACATAATATTTATATTTCGTTTTTCCATAAAAATGCATATAGAGAGAGAGAGAGAGAGAGAGGCTAGATGTAGGTTATAGTCCTAATGTTTTAGGGATGTTTTCGCCCTATATTTTAATACTTTTTCATATATCTTTAAAGGGATAAGTACATGGATAGTCCAATTTTGAGATCCTAATTTTAGAAAGGAAAATTTTGGATAGTTGCTAAATTTGAATACCCGATTTAATAAATGGTTAAGAATATCACATTTTCCCAAAGAGACTGACTAATTTTTATGAGATTTCAAAAATGGACAATCTTCCAACTTTGCCCTTAAGTCCTTTTTTTTTTCTTTTTCTTTCTTCTCATTTGACATTACTTATCATACTTTGATTTTATATTTACCAATTAAATCTTAGTTTTAATTAGATTTGAATTATATTTAAATTTATATTTCCACCTATTTATATTTCCACCAATTAAAACTTATTTTTAATTAGATTTGAATTTAAATTATTTTATAAAATTGAGAACTTTATTTTTAAGTTATGTCAATTGCAAAATGTGGACTATCTCACATAGGGTGTTCAGAAAACCCGACAATCTGACGAACCCAACGTAATCGAGGTTGGGTTGGGTTAATTTTTTCTTGAATCGAAAATTCGGTTCAGTTTTCGATTTAGGAAATTTTCTGGTCAGTTCAATCCGAACCGAACCGAACCCACTGTTAAATTAAAAAATATTATATATATATATATATATATATATATATATATATATATATATATTATATAGATATATATATGTGTGTGTACTTTAAGGTTTGCCAAACAATTTGAGTCGTCTCTCGTATCCTTCTTTCTCCCCCATCTGTTGGATCGGTATGACAATCCTAGAGGGGTGAATAGCGTTTAATGAAAATTCTTTTTGAAGATAAACCAAGTTCTTGTGCCGTAAACAACCCACCATTGTTTCAAACTCAAGATTATGCACGATTATATACAAAAGATCTTTTTTTTACTCTCTCTTTAGCCCTATGTCTCCTATACTTATGAGGTCTTCCTTCATTAGGAGGCTTTTTCGAAAAACTTTAGTCTCATCCTTATAATCTCTCCCATCTGTTATTATTAGGTTATGTGAAGGTACGGATGTAACATAAATTCTAACGGTTTTGTCGAATGAGTTGGAGAATGATTATTGTATCATTGTGGATATTGACTCTATTGACTCCAAAAATAGAAGTGTCACACCACTGCATATCACCGACATTGACCCTAAAAATGATTCTTTGATATTTAACTTTGATTATTTGCACATTTTTTTCACCAATGTGTATATATGTCTAACTTCCATACTTATTTGCACTTAGATTTCAATCACTATCAAATAACCAAAAAAATCAAAGACTAACCGTTCAAAAAATATGAATAAATCTAGGAAGGTAAATATGTGATTCCATTTTAGTTGTGTTTAGACATAGCCAACCATGAAACCATAACTTTTACGCCTACAATAATTCTAATTAGATTTACTTAAATATACGGGGTATTTGTAAACAAAAATTTATAAAAGCTAAACAATATAAAACAATATTTTGATGTAGATGTTTTATAGCATATATTGATATCTCTAACAAAATCCATAAAAACAAGAGAGAATGGTTATGGATATTCAAAAAAAAAATGTTTTATTAAAAACGAACCATTATTTAAGTATATTTTAAAACAATAACAAAGCACCTATCTTCTACGGACTGAAAACAAATGTCATCATATTCTCAAAAAGGTTAGCCCGCATATCTTCATACCAGCATTGAATTGTTAATAAAAGTATCATCTTGATGGAAACATGCCTGATGGAAAGGAACACCTTCCTCCCTTTGTGAATATTTTCCCAGTATGTTTTCAACTTCTTATCCTAAAAAATCTTTATTTCAATCATTTACAAATTCTCTTAATCTTTTTTTTTTTTTATCATTTCATGAATGAGATCCTCTCATCCTAATATACATTATGTGTTTTTTCCAGATTTATAAAATTCTTTTATTTGTTACGATTACTTTGGAAACTACTCATGTAATCTTTAGTTTGTTTAATTTTGATTTTGTATGTTTTTTTTTCTACTATTTGTTTGTTCTTGGTATATTTGCCCCAAATAAATTTTAGAATTGTACGAGAATTGTTAGTTGACCTAGTACTTTTTGCCATTTTTTAAAAGGTCATACTTATCTTGGCCATCATGCGATCGCCCCTTTTAAAAATGTCCAAAATTGCCAATATTTACACTTTTGTCCAGAATTAGGCCCATTTAAAAAATAAAAATTACAAGAGTGCCCATGGTGATGCCCGAATATCTACCCACAAAGGTGCACACCATGCAAAAACAATCTAGAATCACAGCAACACATTTCATTTAATGTTATCATTTGTTTTAGTTGAAATTTAGTGTAAATGCTCACCCTTTTTTCACTGCTACACCTTTCCTTCTCTTTTATCCAATTTGAGAAGTTTTTTATAACTCTTACATCGAGATTTTTCCCTCTGGTAAGAAACAATAATCAGAGTAATAACTACACAATCACATTTTATTTCAAAAAATTGTTATCAAGTTTCCTTCACTCTCTTATATTGATCAGTAATCAACACTCGAGTTAGTCCTGTAAAAGCATAAATCTTTAGAGAGAACAATTGAAGGAAACAAACCATACATACGAGTTTTCAGACCTCAATTTTAATGGTGAAACAACTTTTACTCGAGCATGGGCAAAGCAATGTCTTCTAATAATAACCAATGCTATCATAAAATGTACAGCCTTATTTTATGGCAGGAGAGAATAAAATTTGATTTAGGAAAATCCGGTGATTGATTCAAGAACAATCGTTTGTCACCGATACAGATCATCCTTGTTTCTTACCAGTCATACCCGCAACCACCTGCAAAGATGACAATACATAATTTTGATGATCATCAAACCGAGATACTCATTCAGAAAAACATGAATTTCTAATCTAATCGAGCTTTCGAACTTACATCGCTTAATGCAGGCTGAGGAACTTGCTTAGATGCTTCATAGGAATCCAGAATTGGCCTTACAAAGGCTGGAAGGAAGAGACCTACAAGGTTTGTAACATGTTAGAACCCAAAAATTTAGATATATGATCCAAGTAGCAGTCAACAGTGTGTAAACTGGAACTGATTTGGCATGTCAATTTATTATGAAAAAATTGAGTCGATCGGGGTGGTGCTCACTCCCGATCTCTCTTGCTTTGTCAAGATAGTAGAAATTGAGATTAATCGACAAAGTTTAGTACACTTTGTAGTATAGAAAAATAAGTCCATTTCCATTAGTTTGTGCCCTGTTTGATAATCTTTTGACTTTTTGTTTTTGAAAATTAAGCTTATAAACACTACTTCCAACTGGTATTTTTTTTTAATTTTGTTATTTGCTTTCTAAAAACGTTTTTAAAATCTAAACCAAATTATGAACACTAAAAAAAGGTAGTTTTTTAAATTTTATTTTTGTCTTCGAAACTTGGCTAAGAATTCAAATGTTTCTTTAAGAAAGGTGGAAAACATAGTGAAGAAAATACGAGGGAACAATTATAATTTTAAGAAACAGAAAACTAAAAAAAATTTCGTCATTATGGGATGGAGACTTAACTAAAAAAAACAGAGATTTTCTTTGTTTTATATTTGATTACTCCAGAAGCAAGTGTTTGATGGAATGGTCTTTAGTCAAGCTATTTCAAATTCCTTTGGACTCTTTTAAGTTTTTTAAGAAGACAACGATTGGCCTCCCATTCTGTACAATAGCAGTAGAAGGAAGAAGGTTGACTGATGGTTATGTTAGGTGAGTGCAGTTAGAGAATCAGGAAGGAAACGCATATGTTTTAGGGGGTGGTGTATAAGATCTCTTCTTATAAATAGTTATCTTTTTATTAGAAACAGTTTATAGAGGAAACTCCAGCCAAAGAAACTAATAAGTAGTCGCCCTCCAAATCATTAATAACCATGAAAATGCTGTAATTACAAAAGAATTTAGGATGATTTGAACACCACCGAACCACCATATACTTGATACTATTACAAAAAGAATCAAAATAAGAAATCTTATCTTGGAAGATCATTTAGTTCCGTTCTAGCCGAAGATGCCACCAAAGACTCCTAGCTGCGCAATTCCAAAGGACTTTTCTAATCTTTCCTTTTAGGTTCCAACCTCCCAAAGCTTCAAAAAATCAATCCTCTATCTACTGGGAAGACAGAACTGCACACCCACTTCATTCAGCACAAAACCCCACCCCCAACACAAACATACAGTGCAAAAAGAGATGGTCCAATGGTCCCCCGTCACCCTGGCAGAGGCAGCAAACTGAAGGCAATATAGTCCAACTTGGTTAAAAAGCTAGTCCATCATATTTAGGCTTCTTTATGCCACACCAAAGGAAAATTTTAACTTCCTCCGGGATTTTAGACCTCGACATCATATCAAACAAAGGAGATCTCCCCAATTGGGCGTCTGTACTAGATTTACAAAATCAGACTTGGACAAGTGTCCAGACAATTCTAGGCTTCACATAGCCCTATCCCGCGTCTGCACATCACAAAATTGTTGACCTTCTCGATGAGCGCCACCCAGCTACTAAGCTCTCTATCAAATAAACCTCTTCTGAGCCCCCAATCTGAAAAGGAAATCCTCTTCTTGTGAGAGAGTGTATAAATCTGGATAGGTGATGGCTAAAGGGAGTCTCTTCCACCCACAGGTCTTCCCATAACCGAATTCTTTTCCCATCTTCTACTTTGAATTTCAAGAGCCTCAGAAAGATCTCTTTCACTTTATCTATCTCCTTCCGCAGACTTCTGCCCTTAATACTTTTCACAATGGGCGGCCACTCCAAAGAAACATAAAGGCTAACAATGACCTCTACCCAAAACGCTAAGGTTTCTTGGGTAAAACGCCACAGCCATTTCATGAGGGCACTATTTCTGCGGAAAGAGCCCCCACACCGAGAGCACCAAAGATTATAGGGCGAGTCATCACCTCCTAATTTTCAAGGTGCTTGGAGCGGCTATACGAACCCCACTCCAGATAAACTCTCTAATCATCCTTTCCATCCCACTTCCAATTTCCTTAGGAGCTCTCAAAAGCCACAAGGAAAAAGTAGTAGATTGGAATGCTATTCAAAACCGATTGGACAAAAGTTAATCACCATGCTTTTGATAGCATCAAGCATCTCCATCTAACATTGCTCTAAAACGTACAACAATAGCTTCCAAAAGCCAATGACTCCAAAACTCCCTCCGAGAGGGAAACCAAGATAAGAAAAGGGCATAGATTCTGCAGCACAACCCAGCCTAGCCACCTGGCGAGTAACCTCTTCTTTTCTAATGTTGTTGCCAACCAAAGTAGTTTTCTGCATACAAATTCAGCCCTGACCCCTGAAGGTACAGCTGCAAAATAGACCACCACGCCATAACATTTTCATCCCTATCCTCACAAAAACTCCAAGTGTCATCTCTGTGTTGAAAGTGTGTTAAGTGCACTTGGCCTCTGCCTACCATAAAAACCTCTCACTTCAATAATGTACCAACCGACTCAAAACATCACTCATTTATTTTTATTGGAAGAAAACACTGTCAGTTATGTTTATTGGAAGAAAACATTTCCCATTTGTCATTCATGGAAGAGAAATACTCCATGTAGCCATCATTTCTTCCTTTTAATCTCTTCTTCTCCTTCTTCTTCTTTGTCTTCATTCTCTTCAAGACTTCACTTCTTCCTTTCCTGCCACTCTTCTACTTTTAATTCACATTCTCATTCATTTTCTTCTTCATCTCGACTTTTCTTCTGCTTTTATGGCTTTAAGCCTTCTTTGCTCTTGATTCAAATTTTCAAGGCTTGAAAATAAGAAAGAAAGTCAAATGAAAGAACCAATTTTTATTCCTTTCGCCTTGGACTCGCCTCAACAACGATCAACCCGGCAAAAAAATACAAATGAAGGAGAAGAAATGAGATTGGATTTCTTTTATTTCTCTTAATGTTGTGTCTCTCCATGTCCATCCCGTGTCCGGGAAGAAATTTTGAATCCAAACTGTGTCACCGGTATGTCCAATAAAAAAAAAGAAAAGAAAAGAGATGACGTGCTAAATAGCGTGTCAATGTCTGACACCGACACTCGACAATTTTCTACGTGTCTGTGCTTCCTAGAAACCCACAATAATTACCTTTAATTATAATGGCTACTATCACACATTCACAGAGGCATGAGTCTGTTTCAGCATGGTCCATAAAACCTCCAAAGCAGTCCCCTATTGCTTTGAAGACTTCAAAATGTCATAAATGCAAGACATGTCCAAATTTGACCCATCCCCATATGAAGGGACAGCATTAATCCTACTATGATTTGGTACACCCCATCTTTCCATCTTTAGGGTAAACAAGCCAAATGTAACCCAACCCACATTCATTGCTAGAAGGCACGCCATTTCGTCTGAGGGGCATTAAGGATGACTTTATTTAGTCGACACAGGTTGATTATAAAGAATTGCTTCTGGTTCTTAATAGCTGCCAACACTCTTCCTAAAACATCATGAAAGTCCCTCCTAGTTACCATTACCATGAGGACTTCATCCCATTTTATCCTTCTAACCGCTTTGCTTGTGGTTCCCATTGGGCAAGCTTGGGTATTCAAAGCTTGTTGACTCGGATTAGGAGGATTAAAAGGGGTTGCAATACACGCATCATGCTTTTTTTTTTTTTAATAAGAAATGGAAGAGATATGTATTAATCACAAAAATAACAGCCTAAGGGCAAGGGGTAGAGAGAACCCCTTTACAGAGAAGCTAGTACATTAAGGCCCTCCAATTTCAGAGGATAGAGCTTAAGGAATAATTATAAAAGAATTTGCTGAAACTATAGCACCACCAAGAAGTAGTAAGTTGTACATTACCCCACAAAAAAGGGAAGTCTAAAGAAGTGTTCTCAAAAGTTCTACTGTTTCTTTCCAGCCACACATTCCACAAAATCGCAGCCACAGCAAAGATCCACATAGCTCCTTTGGCATTTCGAAAGCAACCACCATTTAGGGCTTGAGAAAGCCAATCATCAACATACTGAGGGAGGCACCTCTAAATCAAACAAACAGAAAGCTTGAGACCAGCATTTGTAAGCTGTTGGACAGCAAAGAAAAAGGTGGTCGAGGGTCTCTTCTTCACTTAAACAAAGAAAGCAGACAGAGGCGGGCTCCTTCTTCTTGAGTGAAGCGCCAAAGCCATTTAAGGGAAAGGGCATTGTTTCGCTGCTTAAAAGAGCCAATGCCTAGGCCTCCATACATGAGCAGGAGCAATGTCCATTCCCATTTTATTAGGTGGCTACACGAGTGAAAAGATCCTTCATCTAGAAAAAGTCTCACATATTTTTCCATTGTTTTGATTACAAAAACAGGGGCTTTCAACAAAGGAAAATAATAGGGAGGCAAGCTATTAAGCACCCATTGAGCCAAAGTTAGGTGCCCACCTTTGGATAGGTTGAGATTTTTCCATTCAGATGACTTGCATCTGAAATTTTTCCACCATAGGTTCCCAAAAACCGATAGATTTTGCACTTCCACCCAGGGGAAGCCAAGATATGAAAAGGGGAGCCTTTCTATTCTACAACCAATAAGGTTAGCAGTGGCCGAAATAACAGGCCCCTCAATGTTTATCCCTATAAGAGATGTCTTGTCCAAGTTTATAGAGAGGCCTGCAATGAAAATAAAGAGGGAGATAGGTCTTCTGTTTCACCTTGGCTGAAAATTATTGTGTCATTCACATATTGGAGGCGTGTTAAAGCCGTGTTTTGGGAACCCACCAAGAAGTCTTTGAGGATTCTTTTCTCATGACAGAAGTATACTAGACAACTAAAAGCATCTCCAATCAGTGTAAAGAGAAAGGCGGGAGAGAGGGCAGCCTTGCCTAAGACCCCTTTGAGGTTAGCTAGGATTTTACCTCTGGGCCTTCCAATTACCATCACTGAGAAGTTTGTTGAACCAACAGAACCTTGGATCCAACTGCACTATCTAGGGCCAAACCCTTTCCTCTTTAGCATAACCATGCTTGGAGGTAGGGTTTTTTAACCATTTCCACATAGAAGGGACCTTTCCTAAATCCTACCCTATCACCTCACAGGATTTTCCACAAGGGAAGCCTTGCCATTCAAAAAGTCAAGAATGAGATTTTGAAATGATGACCACCCTTTACCTTTCTCTCATATGGGACTACCAGGTTGCTTTTTCCACCCGAGTTTAGTACTTCCATAACTTCTAAAAAACTGCCTCTTTTCTTAGTAGTCTTTTGTACCCATATAAAAAGGTCACTACAATATGACTTTCGAAAGAATTTTAGTGACTACGAGGGACAGCAAAAGATCATCTAAGACATCAACCAGCCACAGAATCACCACCTCTTCCACCAAATCACAAAAAGATCTCTAGAGGTGTAGCTGCAATACTCTGATGACTCTCCCCTTCCAATCTCTATCGAGTAAAAACCCTCTTCGCTACACTCATCCAGATCTTTCTCGACACTGTTGAGAACCAAAGAAACAGGGGCTACGAATGGGGTTATGTTCTCCTTCTCCATCTTCTACATGGGAGGTCCATTCGCGTTTTCATAATCGTATCTCTCAAGAGAACATTCGATGCTCTAACACACGCATTTAAAAAAAATAAACTAATAATTCTTTGGGCTCTTTGGGATGAATAGTTTTCTTAATGATGGAGTGAACTTTACTCTATTTTATTGAAGAAGTTTGCAGGCTTTCCCATCTATGTCTTATGGATCTCAAAGCGTCTTTGGTAAGATTTAGAGATTTAGGTAGATACGAGTGGTCTTCCTACTTCTCGTGAAAGTTTTGGTTTATGATGTGCTATTTTGAGGAAGCTTATGATTTTTCATATTGGTGGCATATAATTGTTCAGAAACTTCTCTTGGAAGGCATCATCGAGCTTATTTGGATGATAACTTTTGGTCATTGTTTCGTTTTTGTAGTTTTGAAGTCTATCATCCAGTTATTTTGGGGGTCTTTAATATTTTCAGTAGCTTTCACTTGGTAGTTTTAAAGGAGTTGATATCCTTTTTTTTTTAATTAAAAAGGAGACAATGTTCTAGAGCCTTTAAGAAGTGCAAGATTTCTTTGGATCAGCATAAGTCAAAGCTTTGTTTTCAATTTTTAGCTGGCTAGGAAGGTTAAAGAGTCCTTTGATGTATAGCGTCACCTTCTAAATACATGGGGTTTTGTGGAATTTTTCTTTCTTTTTTGAACCTCATGTTATGCTGGAGTATGGTTTGGTTGTAACGCGCAGTTATTTGTTAAACTCCTTTAAGGGAGACGGATAATCTTTGTAATTTCTCTTGTAACATTTCATAATTTCAGATGAAAAGTTTTGTTTCCTTTTCAGGAATCACAATGCTAACAACTTTCAATAGAAGATCCCATTAAACTATTGTAATTAGATATGCAAAGGAAAGCTCCTGCATTTGTTACAATTAGATTTATTAAAACTCCCCATGTACTCATTAAACAAAAGGATACTCATGGTAGTCAAACAACAAAAAGGATAATCATAATTATTCAAAAGATAAAAATGATAGGCATAATAATCAATGATAAATCCGTTTAAGAAGTTCCGTACTACGTACCAAAATCCAAGGTTCAAAGTTCAAGAAATCTAGGTTAACATAGCCCAAGGTAATGTTTTGAAAAGCATACCCATTGGGGTGTGCTGTGCATGCCTTGGTGTCTTTCCATTTTTTATTCATTAAATTTTTATAGAAAAATAAGAAATATCCTCCAAAAACCTTCGATTCCCTAAACATTATAAACAACTCTTATTTCTTAAATTTTCAAGATCTTATAACTCATAATACTAATTATAATACTATATTAGCTCTGCCTCGTAGCAAATTACTAATGAGTAATAAACATATTTGATGAAACCAAAGCTCCTAAATAAATGAAAGGGAGTAGAGAGTGTTTGGAGAAGAGGGAGAGTTATAGAGGATGGAATTATTCGAACTCTGTTATTATGATTGAGCTCAAAAGATTTAGATTCTTATGATGCAAGGTATAAGGGAGGAAGAGTACAGATATGGAAGACTGTRGTGAAGCTTGTATCTTACTACATCTACCATGTTTCATTCAATCTCCGATGACTAGTGGACCTGGTGTACTTGTGCATTTACTGGCTCTATACTCTGGTAGGTTGCTAGTTGGAAGAATGTTGGTGGTAAACAGTTTGTTTCCCAAGGAGGCAGCATTGAATTAGCAATAAGACCAAGAAACCTAATTTGGAGGATGCGAAGAGATTAGATTGGGAGGAGGTATAGTTTTCTCGGAGTTCACATTTCCAATAATATGAATAAGGAAGTTAAGGAGGTGTTATTAGAAGTAGGTAAGGAGTAGTTAGAGGAATTTAATAAGGCAGGAGTAAGTGTTAGATGAGTCGGGTAGAAGAGAGAAGATTTCTTGGAAAATGAAGAGGCAGCGTTGGGTGGGGAATGGTTTCATTGAGATCTGAAAACTTACAAACAATCAACCTTCTTCTCTTAAAAAAATAAATAAAAATAAAAATAATAAAATAATAAAAAATGATCTCCCAACTGCAGGCTAACCTATTGCAGCATCTGAGAACATGTTTCACATCCTAGTATGTGGAGGGCACACCATCACCCCATGGCCTTTCTTGAACTAAAGACGTGTGTACTTTGATTCAGATCTTTTAATAACAATCCATTGTTCTCGTTGGATTTAGCATTATTCCCCTTGATATATAATCGTTCTTTTCCTCCTCCAATCTAATCAAACAAGAGTGACAAGTTTTTCATACCATTAGACTTGTAACCATCAGAATCTTACTCTTCGATATCAGTTCCATCATCATCCAAAGCTGTTGGTATGGTCCATGTGGATGAACATGAAGCTTTAGTTCTAGTTCTTGAAGTACTTGATGTAGAATAATAAGTTGATTCTTTCACTACAACAGCTCTCAAAACATCGCCCAAGAATCATCATCAAACACAAGAATGATCCTCTTCCGAATCCCATCCATTTGTCTAGTGAACCACTCATTACAATCGTCGATATCATTCAAGAGATAAAGTTGATCGTGAAGCGAATATTATATCAACACTTCGATGCTCTATCATATTTAGTAGGAATCTTTGGTGACAACACAAAGATTTCCGGCTCTTCCAATTTATTCTCCTTTTATCTCATTGAAACCCCACTGGCACACATTGCATTAAGTTCATTGCACAGCTTGTATAGCAGTTTAAAACAGTTCATATAATAGGTGAGCATGGCTTGGGCTAGCAACTCTTGATAGCTCAGAGTTTGAAAATTCCCATCTTAAACATCAATAAGTATTAAAACCAATAAATTCCAACATTTTTACAAATTATTGGTCACTAGAAACACTGTTTGCGAACAAGAAGTAATGAAACTACTGGCAAAGCTGAATCGGGTCAAAAAAAAAATAATAACTTTTGCCAAGAAGCTAATACGCAAATCTATCCAGTCAAATAAGGAGTCTTCAATCGTGATTGTTTCTTGGCATCCTAAATTGTACAGGATACGGCAATTATATTCAAATATGCTCTTCCCCATACATAGATCTGAGGGATATATGAAAGAGAGCATCAGGTTTCGTCTCATTGATCAAATGACGATTGAAAAAATAAACAATAATTAGGGCTTGTGATAGGAAAGAGTAAGTACCAATTCCACCGATTAAACAAGATGCAGCCACCACCGGCTCTTGAACGACGAACATCTTCAGCTTCTCCACGACCGGCATCTCCGCCTCTTTCAGAATGCGTAATTTCCTTTTGATTCGCTTCTTCAGTGTTCGTGGTTTGATTCTCCAAGTAAGTGTGTAAAAAGATTTGTACTTCCCTCAACGACCCGAAACCGGGAAACGGGCACCTGGGTTTGTTATGGATCCAAAACAGCCCTAATCTGACGATGTTTATGTCGATTTTTTTTTTTTTTAAAACTAGTTAGAATCAACTGCATTTTTAGGTGGTTTAAAATTTTTTGGAACATAACTTTATTTTTTCTGTGAAATTCAAATTTGATCTCTCTTTTTTCGTGAAATTCAAATTTGATCTAATATACTTTTATTGAATTTAAATATTAAATATTTTAACATTAATTCAAAGGAAAAAAAATAGAAGAGCACATATTAAGATTGATTATAAATGCTTATTATAGGGAGAAAGATTAGATCCAGCGAARAGAGAGAAGATCCAGCAAAGAGAGCCAAGAGAAGGCACGAACCAGAAAGGGACCGGTGCTCGGCGACCCAAGCTAGCTCCCTGGCCTACTAATGGTCGACCCCCCGACTGAGAACTCTAGAGATCCGATTCGATCGTGATGCATGCCAGCTCGAACCCATCGCGTCTCGACTCTTGATTCGACGACAGACCCATAACAAGATATGCTGGTCCAGATAACTAGATTTCTTAGATGTATCAAGGTTCGACTTTCATAATTCCTAGAATGATCTAGATTCAACTTCTATAAATAGGGAAGCAAGTCAAACTCTAAAGGTACGCGTAAATACCCTACTCTCTACACTCTACTACTTTGATACTAACTTAAGCATCGGAGCCCACGTGGCAGAAGCCATCGAGAACACCTTGACCGATAAAGAAAAAGCACTCAGCCAGCATGAGCATGCAGATGAATCGTAGAAACGTAATGAAAAACGGAAAAATAGGGGATAAGATCTCGAAGAAACCATAGATCAGGCAGATTCGCCATTTGTGGAGGAGATAATGATAGAGAAAATCCCTCCCAAGTTCAAACTCTCTACTATAAAACAATACGATGACTCAACAGATCCTATCAACTATCTATGCACATATAGGGAATGACTCTACGGAATAACAAAGGCAATCAGGTGTAGAGTATTTTCTTTCACGTTAACCGGCACAACCCACATATGGCTTCGACAAGTGAGGAGAAAGTCAATCTTCTCCTTTAGAGAACTTGTCATGACATTTATCACGCAATTCATTGGAGGGTGGAATAGGAATCGACATGTGACCTACCTCCTTACTGTTAAAAAAAAATGAACGGAGAGCCTTGGAGGATATGTGGCTCGCTTCAACGAAGAAAAATTACTAGTCAAAGATCTTACCGACGAAATATTGCTACTCGCTTTCATATCTGGGGTAAGAGATGGCGAACTATTGTTCTCCCTTGAAAAAAGGGCCCTAGCAACTTTCTCAGAAGCATTGAGTCGAGCTCAAAATATATAAGTGCAGAAGAACTACTTCATTCAAAATGGGATTTTGATAGAACTTAAGACCGATTAGATCAACGAGACCCCTAGAGAAATATACTCTAACGACAATCTCGTCCAAGCAAGAATTGGAAAGAGAAGCGAGTATTGCAGGGATGCTACTACACCACCTCAAGAGGACGCATGACAGCCTGACAAACACACATTACATGACAATATCTAATTTCTCTCATTTTTGCCTGGTTAATAATTTAGGTTTAATTTTTTTATAATTGCTTATATAGGTTATCATTTGCTTTGTTTCAAGTTATGTTTGATATATGTTTCAGAGAATATTTACTTGCTTTTGGTTAATTCTAGCATGTGAAGTTTAATTAATTCTTTACTACTTGAGCATTTATCTTTTATTCTAAATGAAAATTCCTCAAGTGGGGGCATGAGTGAGATAATCAACAACTAGTCAAAGAACTCATTGGGACAAACCTAGAAGCAGACCGATAAGCTAAAAGCCAATCAGTGAAACCCAGGGTATAAAACCATTTAGCAAAAGCCAAAATAGGTTAGAAACCCAAAGATGTTGATTAAATTCATGGTAAAAAACTGGCAGAAGCCAAATAGGTTAGAAACCCAAGGGTGCCTAAATAGGTTAGAAACCGAAGAGTAAACCTTGAGGTATAAAAGCATGGGTAAAAACCAAATAGGTTAGAAATCCAAGGATGGTATCACTGGCCCAACTAAAAGTTGGATCCCAATGCCAAAAATATAACGGTTAAAACTAACCGTATAGCAGAGACCAATAAACTTGACTACAGCCAACTACGAAAAAAGAGAATGGGGGCTAGGAAATGCCGGCTCGTAAGACGACGGCCGACAACGACAAAAGGAGGAGGGAGGGGCTATTCCACAAAATAGCCATTCATGTAACGGACGAGTGACAAGTACTCTCAACATAAAAGTCCAAGCATTTTGTTTATACKTATTGCCTTATACATTAAGAGTGGGGGCTACTGTTATGGGAAGAAAGAGGAGATCCAGTGAAGCGAAAGAAGACCGGAGGACAGCCAAGAGAAGGCATGAACCAGAAGGGGGTCGGTGCTCGGCGACCCAAGCCTGCCCCCGACCGACCACCAGGGTTCGGCGTCGAGACCTTCTCGGCACCGAGCAGTTCTCGGGCCCCCAGCTAAAAACTCTAGAGACCTGACTCGACCGCGATGCATGCTAGCCCGAACCCATCGTGTCCTGACTCTTGATCCGACGACAGGCCCATAACAAGATTCGTTGGTCCAGATAACTAGATTTCCTAGATGTATGTTTCAGGATTCGACTTCCATAATTCCTAGAGGGATCAGAATTCAACCTCTATAAATAAGGAAGTAAGTCAAACCATAAATGTATGCCTAAATACCCTACTCTCTACACTCGACTACTTCAATACTAACTTAAGCATCAGAGCCCGTGTGGCAGGAGCCACACCGGTCTTATGGTTATTTTGTTTTACAGGTCACGTCAATCACTCTCATATTTAGAAGATTGGTGAAAATTTGGAGGAATCCTAAGCAGCCAAATTTCTGCATCAACAATTCTTAATTGTTGAAATATGATGCCAAAAACGTTGTTGGAGGAATGTCTCGAGTTCCACATTTCTCATCCCTCCAGTGAAGGCTACTTCCGTCTTGGAATTTAATTAAAGACATGAATGCAGAACTGAGAGGAATTGAAGAGCGAAAGTACTTCAAAGATTGAAAAGATAAGGTTTTTTTTAGTTGATAAATGTTACGTTGCTTGATGAGATCAAAGTACTTAGTGAGTCGTTAAGCCACCTAAAAAGAAGGAGATAAAATATTTCAAAATTTTCATCTCAAAATTTTTAGAAAAAAACCAAAATTTTTATTTTTATGCATATGTGAATATCTCACATTAATTTAGCTTTAAATTCAGATCAAAATTTAGAAATAAATTAATGTGAGATATTTCAATAAAATAGTCCAGTTCTTTATGATAAGTTAGTTATTAATATATATATATATATATATATATATATATATATATATATTATAAAAGATTAAATAAAAAATTTTCGAACTGTGGTTGGAAAAACAAATTCAAACTAAGGGGTAATAGAATGAAGCAAGAGTTACCATATTGGGCAGGCTTTAGGAATGAGCGTAAAAAACGAATGTGAATAAATTTAGCATTTGAATAATTATTTCCCATCGAAGTTATCAATGAAGATAACTTTGAATTGAATACCAACGCTGCTGTGTTGGTAGCCCTTGGAGCAGCCTCGGGTGGTACCACTGCTTAGAGTTCTCTGCGATGGAACGTAGCTGATTGCCAGTAAGCTCAAGACTCCGATCCATCTTCCTCGGATCAAAGATTGAAATGATCATAAAACAAATTTTATTGGTCAAAACTAACCACATCAGTTTAGAAAATTAAGGTTAATTAATAAAATAAATAATCAAGTAGTTAAGATCAAGTAAACACCATCCTTCTACATCAATTTAGAAAACAAAGACTCAAAATATGATCACAATACAAAATTCACATCAATTTTGAAAATAGAACACTCACAATATATCACAATACAAAAATTATGGGTTAAAACTAACCACATCAATTTAGAATTCCAAGTTAATTAATAAAAAATAAAAAATCGAAAAGTAATACAATTTTTTTCCCATATCTTAGGATTTTTAACTAGCCTTGTGTTCCTCTCAAGGGATTGAAGATTTTATAGTTTAATTTTTATGTTTTAAGGATCATCTCTTGGGTTGAACGTTTTCAAAATTTGTTAAATTATATTTCAATTTAAATCAACATAACCTGTTTGTGATAAAAACAATTAAATCTAAAATAAGAAGTCTAAAATTAGTTAAGATGATGAAAACAACAATAATTGGGATAAATACAAATATTAAATATATTTTTATATAAATCCAAAAATAGTTAAGAAAATACAACAATCATTCCATGTAAATTTAGAAAATAGAACACTCAGAATATGATCACAGTAAAAAAGATTTACATCAATTTAGAAAACAGAACGCTCATATTATATCATTGTACAAAAATTATTAGTCAAGATAACCATATTAATTTAAAAATCCAATAAGAAATCTAGAAGTAGTTAAGATCATGGAAACAATGAGAGGGATAAATAGTAACATTAAATATAATTTTATACTTTACCTCTTCACAACTAAAATTAATTTTTGTATTCACCAATCTTCGTTTTGCCATGCTTCAATGTTTCTCTTATGAAGAACAAAAATTTTTAATTTACACCCTTTTCGGAAAAGTATGGGTTCTTTGATAAAAGAAGAGATTTCCATAGACATTTTGGAAGAAAGCAAATAATACAAAATTTGATGTAGTACTTAAGTTTTCCTTTTTCTTTTTTTTTTTAATAAATTGTTTGTAAAGGAATAGACGCATTATTTCGTCAAACAATCACACTTATTGATCGATCACACCTATATGGGAAAGGACGTATTCAAGGGTGGATCCACGTAGAGGCCCTGCCCCTTGGCCCGAATTTGTTTTAAATATAATGTATTTCTTATATATAATAATCCTTAAAAAAAATAAATATAATATACATGGATTACATTATCCAAATATTTGTTGTTGTTCAGTTGACTAAAGAAACACAGAAATTTAGAATATTACATCGAGAGCCCAGGATCGATTTAGTTTATTTTCTTTTACGTGTTTTCCATCCATTTTGGACTTAGCCCATTACCAAACCCTAAAAATAAACTTAAACAAGTAAAAATAAATTTAGCCGCCAAGGATATATCACATTACCCCAGATATCATTTATTTTTTTATTTGCATACCGAATTATTGATAAATAAACTAATCTTTTACTTTTGTATTTACATTGTTGATTTTTTTTTCTTTATAAATTTTAGAGTTAAATTCAAATGACGAGTTTTTTTTGTTAGAAAGTGAGAATATAAAATTGGCACGTAAGCTTCCAATTTCTTTTAGACTTTTAGTTTTATCTTCTGATTAGCTTCCGATTTCTTTTAGACTTTTAGTTTTATTTCTTATGATTGTTAAATTTATGTTTTAATTCTGAAATATTTTTCTATTAATGGTTTGTAGATTTAATTTGAAATCAATATGGAGAAATATTAAAAACAACAATTGAGTCATCATCATGTAGAAGTTGATTTAGGAGAATTACCTGCACATTCTGGTCAAGACCTAAAATTTCTGATTACAATTGTAATGTTCAAGATCAAGTTCGTAGAGCTAATTTACAAAAGGGTCCTAGTCAGCTGCGAAATCATATTTTTCCATTCAAGAAATTTGGACAGAAGTCAAGACGATTTAATCCAGCTTGGTTCAATGAATATTTTAATTGGTTAGAATATAGTATTTCAAAGGATGCTGCATTTTGTTTATGTTGCTACTTATTCAAACCAGAAGTTTGTGAACAATCAGGAGGTGATCATTTTATTGGTGAAGGATATTCTAACTGGAATAAAAAAGATAAATTGCAAACTCATGTTGGTGGTCCTAATAGTGCACGTAATCAAGCTTGCGTTAAATGTGAGGCTCTTTTGAAACAAAAGCAACATATTGAGACGTTTTTTAATAGGATGTCAGATCAAGCACAAGTTGAATATCGAAATCGATTAGGTGTATCAATTGATTGTATTAAGTTTTTATTACGACAAGGGCTTCCATTTTGTGGACATGATGAGACAGATGATTCAAAAAATCAGTTTAATTTTTTGAAATTTTGCGATGGCTATGTGACCACAACAAGGATATTGAAGTTGTGACTTTGAAAAATGCTCCAGACAATTTGAAATTGATTGCACCCGATATTCAAAAGGATATTGTGAATTGTATTGCAGTAGAAATTGTGAATGCAAATAAGAGATATGAGTGATAAGTTATTTTCTATTTTTATTGATGAATCCAAAGATATATTTTCAAAGGAGCAAATGTCAGTTGTATTGCGATATGTGGACAAAAGTCATGTGATTGACGAACGATTTGTTGGAATTATACACGTCGCCAATACAAATTCTCTATCACTTAAGGAAACTATTGATGAATTTTTTCCTCAACATGGGTTAAGCATTGCTAGTTTGCGAGGACAAGAATACGATGGAGCAACTAATATGCAAGGTGAGTTTAATGGATTGAAAGCACTTATTTTGAAAGAAAATGAATGTACTTTTTACCTTCATTATGTTTCTCCTAAGCTTCAATTAGCTCTTATAGCTACTGCAAAAAATCATGTAGAATTGTTGGTTGATTTTATTGTTACAAATTTAGTGAATGTTATTGGGGCATCAGCAAAACGTCGTGATATTCTACGAGAAAATCATAGTATGACAATTTTTGAAGCTTTGGACAGTGGTGAACTATCAACTGGTCGAGGATTAAATCAAGAGACAATGATTAAACGACCAGGAGATACATGGTGGGGATCACATTACGGTGCTTTATTGAGTATTACCCGCTCATACTCAGATAGCGTTGCTGCCAACGGGCAGCCGGCGGTGCCGCCTCCTGTAGTCCTCTGATGGGAAATCTGTGGAGAGCGTCTGTTGTCTTTGTAGAGCAACAGTACGATCTTGGACTGGCCCCAAGGATGGAATCTTTTTTAGACCCTCTCGTTCGGCCACTCCTTCTGAGGAGGCCCTATTTATTGGCCCATTACTTGAGATAATATTTTCATCAGTAGTTGATATACTTGAGACAATTGTAGAAGGTGGAACAAATTTAGAACAGAAATATGAAGCAGAGATTCTAATAAGTTCAATCCAATAGTTCAACTTTGTTTTTCATATGCATTTTATCAAAATCATCTGGAAATCACAAATGATGTATCTCAAACATTACAAAGAAAAGATCAGGATATTGTGAATGCCATGAGTTTAGTCAGAATTTGTAAAGAATATTGCAAACATTGAGGGAGTCTGGTTGGGATTCATTGCTGGATCAAGTTTCTACTTTTTGTGATAAACATAATATTCAAGTTTTTAAGATGGATGATATGTTCTTGATTTGATGACGACATTTTTTCTCGCTTCCTCTCCTTCCTTTCCAAATCGAAATTCTCTCTCCTCTCTCTTTTGCACCGCCTCCGCTCGCCCCTCCTCTTCCTCGCCGTCGTCTTCCAACTTGATCCCACATGGTCGCCGTTGGCCATGTGATTCTGGTGGCTCTCCATCGCTTCTACCTCGCCGTCCTCCTCGCCTCTACCTCGCTGGCCTCCTCCACCTCGCCGTTGGCCACATGATTCCGGTGGCTCTCCACCACTTCTACCTCGCCGGCCTCCTCCGCCTCTACCTCGTTGGCCTCCTCCACCTTTACTTCACATTCTGTTGCTGCTCGCTACACGATTTTGGTGAACTTTGTGCGTTACAAGGTTGGTATACTTCAAACAAGTGAACATTATTTTATTTATTAATTTAGGAGATTTTTGTTGGACTTTGTATCTGATCTATTGCTGGGTATCTAGTGTTTGAGTTCTGATATTTTATCTCAATTCACTTTTTCTTCTGAAAATTTATGTGTCCTTGTTTCAGTTTTGATATTTTGTTTTTGGGTTCTGTTTACAATTTTTTAAATTGATGGAATTCAAGTAAAATGTGTGGTGTGTCGTGGCAGAGAATTCTTCTCCATTCTTATTTTTTGTTTCTTGGATTGGAGATTTTTTATGCTTGTAGGAAGTTATGGGATATCACAACTTTGAAAGGAATTGAAGAAAGTTCATCAATTGAAAATATTGCTTGGGAAAGTTTGAGATTTAATTTGAACTAATTTCAAAAATTTTCTCTCTGTGTCTGTTTAACCAAACAAAACTCAGTTTTCTTAGATAATGTTTTCAGAAAACCAAATTGGAATGAGAATGATTAAGCAGGAGAGTATATGAGATTGGCCTTTCATGAGCTTTCTTATGAGTTTATTGTCCTAGTAATGAAGTCCAAGCCAATTTCAAAATGTTGGGAAATTTGGCTGTGGTATATAGATGGATTTAGAGGTCTTTCAATTCACTATTTCTTTTGAGTTGAGTGGTATATGGACTGTTCTTTTCGGGGAACCAAACCAAGTATATGATGTTGCAAAATAGTGACTTAGGAGAGGACCAATTTTTTAAAAATGCAATTATAAGAGAGAGAGGCAGAGATAGTAACAACTTCCAAACAGTTTTTGGTGAGTTCTTGAGATTGAGATCTAAATTGATTAATTACTTCTCTTGAAGAGTCCAAATCTCTATATTATAGAATTTAATTTTGATGGCCAATCATAGGAGTCTTTGTTCGTTCCTTTAGAAATTAGTTGGAGGTAATGTAAAAAATTGATGATATCTGTTTGCATAATTGTGGAACTGATACCCATATCAATTTTTACGTGCTATGAATATGACATTGAAACGAATAGATAGAATACGTTGCTTTATGAGATTTTATGATTGCATAGTTTTAGAATTACTTTTGTTTTATTCTTAAGGAGAAATTTAGCATTAATTCTTCTAAGTCGCTCTTAGGAACTAACTGAAGTATGTTTGTGAGTAGAAGAAATATTTGTTAGGAATTATTTATNTATTTCTTTTGAGTTGAGTGGTATATGGACTGTTCTTTTCGGGGAACCAAACCAAGTATATGATGTTGCAAAATAGTGACTTAGGAGAGGACCAATTTTAAAAAAATGCAATTATAAGAGGGAGAGGTAGAGATAGTAACAACTTCCAAACAATTTTTGGTGAGTTCTTGAGATTGAGATCTAACTTGATTAATTACTTCTCTTGAAGAGTCCAAATCTCTATATTATAGAATTTAATTTTGATGGTCCCATCATAGGAGTCTTTGTTCGTTTCTTTAGAAATTAGTTGGAGGTAATGTAAAAAATTGATGATATCTGTTTGTATAATTGTGGAACTGATACCCATATCCATTTTTACGTGCTATGAATATGACATTGAAACCAATGGATAGAATACGTTGCTTTATGAGATTTTATGATTGCATAGTTTGAGAATTACTTTTGTTTTATTCTCAAGGAGAAATCTAGCATTAATTCTTCTAAGTCGCTCTTAGGAACTAACTGAAGTATGTTTGTGAGTAGAAGAAATATTTGTTAGGAATTATTTATCAGCCATGAATCTTTTTTAATCACAATGTCATAAAAAATGAAGGTGATGAACCCATTGCTGGAATCACGCGAGGTCTTGGGGAAACACATGGTGAATTCTTGACAAGAGTCGTCGAGCGTGCAACGGTAGTACAACTAGAGTTGATGCAATTCGATGCAACCATGATGGAAACATATTTTGTAACATTGGTTCAGATGGAGATGAAGAATGTTATTTGTAAATTTAGAAAGAAATTTAGTTGTTTTATATTTTCAGAAACTTGTAAATGTTTTGAATGACATATATTGTTTAATTAAATTTACATTATAATTCAAGCAATTTGTCTATTTGAACTTTTTAAATTTAGCAATGAATTTTGAGGTTGATTCAAAGTTGGGTGGAAATTAAGGTTTGCAAATAAGGAAAACTAAAATGAAAAAAAATAAAAATTAAAACATTTAAAACGAAATAATTAAATAAAAACAATAAAAATAATAAAAATGCAACGAAATAACATTTTTGTCGCAAAGCCAAAAGTCGACGAAAATGCTATTTTGTCGCTAATAAAAATATGCGACGAAATCTATTTTTGTCCCAACTTTTGCTATGAAAGCGTATTTCGTCGCAAAATGCGACGAAAATGCGCGATTGTCGCCAAAAGCCTTCAGCGACTCACTTTCAGCGACAAAATTTGCGACGAAAGGCGTTTTGTCGCTAATAACCTTCTGCGACATATTTTTCTTTTCACGAAATTTTTCGTCGTTGAAAGTCCTATTTTTTGTAGTGATCAATGATCTTGCAGTAAAAATGGTCATGACAAATACAGATAAGGCATATCCATTAGTTTATCGATTGCTCACCTTGACATCGATTTTACCTGTTGCAACAACTACTGTAGAGAGAACGTTTTCTGCTATGAATATTGTGAAGACTCGATTGCGTAATTGAATGGGAGATCAATGGATAAGCGATAGTCGCATAACATATGTTGAGAAAAATTTATTAGATAAGTTAGATAACAACGTTATCATGAATCCATTTCAGAATATGAAAAGTCGTAAAAGACAGTTGTAATGTTATTCAATTAGTTCATTTATGAACCTATGAACATTTTGAATTTTTTTTTTATTGTAGATTATTTTATTAAATTTTTATGTGTATTGTGCCCCTGAATGAAATTCTTGGATTTGCCATTGACAGTTGTAATGTTATTCCATTAGTTCATTTATCAACCTATGAACATTTTGAAATTTTTTATCGTAGATTATTTATTAAATTTTTATTTGTATTCTGCCCCCTAATGAAATTCCTGGATCCGCCATTGGACGTGTTGCTTCTCTAAATAAACATCTCATTGAAACAATAGTATCTTATGTATCTTCCATTTTTCCATCAAAACTAAGGTAGGAAGTAGAGATGTTGTGTTTTATAAAATTGATTGATATTTGAAGCCCCAAACAACAACAATTGCCACCATTTTTCTTCATAAATCACAATTGCATTCTTGAACCATTTCACTCCATTAATTGATTTTGAAAGCACAAGTCCTTGAGGATTCGACCTTGAATTACTCCCAAGTATTTTGTGGCCGCGTACGCTTGCACGTGTCTCTTCTCTTTTTATGGTAGTGAAAGTTCCAACATAGATCAAGATGCACCAATGCTCAGGGTATTGGAAGTAAAGAAGAAAGCTCAAGGGCTATTTTCATTCATCAATAATCCAACCTCTCAAATGTACAAGAAGAAGCCTATAAATAGGCAACTTGATTTTCCCTAAAATAAAAGGAAAAAGACTTTAACTAAATCTAGACTAAACTAGTTACAATAGAGCATAACTAAGTTGTAAAATTGAGGGGGCTTCTTTAAATGGGGATCTAAAGTGCATAAAAACCCCATTCTTTGTCCTAGGACCTGTTAAATAAATTATACATGAAGTCCAGAAGAAAGTTACAAGATTAATTACATGAAAACACTACTTTAAGACTCAAACCCTAAATAACCCCTAAATTGGAGCTCTCATGTTTGGTGTCTTCATGTTCCCTTGAAGTTTGTTTCTCTACATGTTCTACTTCCTCATGAAACTTGATAATCCACACGTTGAAGTGGAGACCCCCTTCTTTTTTCGGTTGACCCTCATTGCATGATATGCGTTGCTTGAAGCATATAAAAAAGGTTCGTTTTGATCAGTAAGGTTAAAAGGTGCCAGACGCATAGTTCCTTGTGGGAATCTGTTAGTTTTTTTCAAGTTTGACCACGTTTTATCCCAAAATACCCTACATTGCAAATTGATAACTCTCCATAAAGAGTGTTTTGTGGCATAATCTGGGTAATAATGACGTGTAAATGTGAGAGTCCTTGTCGAATTAGCGAGAAATCAATAGAAATTATCAAGCTTGAGTTCCGTGCCGTTAGAATTCTTAATATCTGTAATTTGATTGAAGTTGAA